TGGCTCTGGGCTGCTGGCTGGCGGGATGACAGCCTGTCCCTCGCCTTGCGGACGGGATGAGGATTTGGGACGCTGTGTCTGAACGCATTCAGTGAATGCTCGTGACGAAGCGGGTTGCCTTTGTTTCCTACAACTCGATGATCTCAGTAGACTATCAGTATGTTATCGCGTGCCGTTGCTCTTCCCCTCCTTTAAAGGCAGCTAAAACATCCCAGAATTACCTTGTGGCTGGCAAATGGGCCACAGACCAGATTCTCCATCCAGCTCTAGCAGAGAGAAGTCTTCAACGCATTTTGTAGCTCCTCTGTTCCCCACAGCCAGAGTGGAAAGACCCGACCAAGAGCTGGAAGCGTTTTTTAGGGTTAATCCCAAACGATGAGGACCCCTGGTCCATCTGAGGGATGTTGAGTCTGCTCTTCACCAAACACCTTTCAGAGGCAGAAGAGGAAGGAAACACCTCAGCATGTGAAGGCCTTCCCCAAAGCTTTCCAGTGTCACTTCTCGCTCCTCTGTACATCACGGCAGGGCAGAAGGGACAAAGCACCACTATCGTGCTCCAAAAAGTCACCCTCCATTTCTACCAGCCACCAAACACTTACTATTTGCTCCTTCTCTTCTGCTTGGCCTTCAGGCTACCAGAATGCCTGGAACTGGGACATTCTCCATCACTGACCAACAGATGTTGGATCTTGGATTCAGCGATGTCACTGCTGAGGGATGGGTTTCTCGGTTGCCTGAGACTTTGGCAGATGCTTGTGGGCTCATCTCTGCTCAAGCCATTCTTGGTAAGAGGAGAGATGAAAACCTTTGCTTCCCCTTGAGGCACCTTTGGGGTGTACGCTCATTTTTGCATCACCAAGAGAGGAAGAGAAGTCCTTCAGAAGGTCCGGAGGGCATCACAAGAGGAAACCACCCCCCACGTAGCTGGGTGTATAAAGCTACAGTCTCTCTTCATTTTGTCAACTGGATTCAAACCATTCATATTTGTTCAGTGATGTGGTGACTGTTGTCTAATAGACATGTCCTGGAGCTGCTGCTGCTGAGCCAATTGAGACAGAAATTGATGCTCCATAGTTCTGCTGCACTAGACCCCGCAAAGGCAAACACCGGAGCTCACGCTGGCTCCTACAGCCGCGTTGTGGTGAGAACTGTTTTGGCAGCAGCCAGCCAGCCTTGAAAGAGAGAAGGGATGGACCGTTTGTACAAAAACCCGCGGACGTGCAGATTTTCCATGATTTCTGGTCAACGCTGCCATCCCTCCAGCTGTGTTGCCAACAACAAGCTGTGTTGTGGGGTGAGCTGATCTCAGCATCGGCCCGGTGGTCCCCTGCAGAGGTGTTGAGCCAGCGGGAAGGGTGGAGGCGTGCAGGTAGTTTGCTTCTTGACGGCGCCTGTTTGAGCACAGCCTACCCAGCGTGGCCTGGCTAAGCTTCTTCGAACCCTGGGTGCGTTGAGCACGGACGGTTTCAGAGTGGCCCAGCACCGTCCACCCATGGGTGTCTGCTTGGCTCCTGGCTTGCAGAGTATTTTCAGAATTCGGCTGCCATGGCCGCGCAGCTCCTCGCAGCAGAGGATGCCCTGACCCAGACCCCAGCACACCCCCCCCACTGTGGTGGACGCGTGGGAAGGGGACGGGAGATGGATGGCTGCGGCCGTAGCGTGGTCTTTAATTGCGGAAGAGCCCGCCTATGCAGCTATCGATTCTGGGAAGCTCTTTAGAGGTGTTCACTGGCACATCACACTATTTCTGGAGCTTCTTTTAAAAAACACGAGTTGTGCTGCATTTTGGCCATATAATCCCTGTGCCTGGAGTCACACAAAACCCACCAACAAAATTTGGTGTCACCTGCCAGGCTGCTGAGAGGCGTGGCAGAAACAGCCCTTCCTTCCCCCCAGTGATGATGTCACAAGTGATGTCAGCATGAAGTACAGGGACCAAGTGGAAATGATCGTGAAATCTTGGTCCCTGTGGAAGTGGAGGAGGTGCCACGCTCCTGGGGCTCCAGCTAGGACTACAGGTCCCTGGCAGGAGCCCTCAGTGGCGGCTGTACTTGGGGAAACCGCACTCGCTGCTTGCGGCCCCGCTTTACGCGTGCCTTTGTAGAGAAGACAACGTGGCCTCCATGGTTGGGTGTCTGTGACCCATCAGCAGGGCTGGGGATCCCACCCTGGAGCCCAAGGCTTGGTGACGTTGGGTTACACCTTCCCTCCAGGCACCTCCCTGCAGCCCACGGGTAATGCCTGACGTTTGCGCCGAGTTTCGGGTCATGGGTACGCGTTGCACAACGTGCGTGCGGGGACCAGGGGAGGGAAGAGGCACGAAGGGTCCGCAGACAGGCCAGACAGCCCCAGGCTAGGGGCTTCATCTCGGGCTCGGCTCTCCCTTCCCAAGGCAGGGTCTGCCCTTCCGCTCCCACGCACGGACACGAAGACGCTCACCACCGGACAGGTCTCAGCCCCTGCCCCACCCCTCCCCATAGCTGCCTCAGACAGACTCCAGCCCAGTGAGGCCCCAGAGCTCTCGGGGCGGGGCGGGGAGAGGTCCCAGGAAGGTGTTGGCCCCACAGGACCAAGGGGGAAAAGGGCAGCCTGCCCCCAGCTTTGCTCTGTCTGGGAAAGCTGTCCTCGCCCCCAGCCCCTCCCCGCCTCTGCCGGGAGAGCAGCTGGGCAAGGGGCAGGGGGATGGGGCTGTCTCCAAAGCCAGCTCAGCACCCTGCCGGGCTTGACCCGCTGAGTTCCGGGTGACAGAAGTGACCCAGGACACCCCGTTCCAACTTCACCACAGGCTTGGGAGGAATGAAAAAATCCGCTCTATTAAACCTGCCGGAAGAAGGGTACAATGGGTGGTCTGGGGCACGCAGAGCGCAAGGGGTGGTCGGGGGCATCCAAAGCTCTCGTGGAGCAAAGGCTACTTCTTCTTGCTGCTTTTCTTCTTGCTTTCAATCAGGTGCAGCCCTTGCTTCTTGATGTCTTCCCGGGTGGGGACAAGGCCACGGTCTTTGTCAGCAAAATCAAAGGGGTCTGGAGGAGAGAGTGGAGGGGGCTTGGGGAGGGTCTGCGGGGCCACCTCCACTGTGCCCGTGTCCCTGGGGAGAGCTGGCACATTTTGGAGGGCTGGTGGCACCCTGGAGAGCCCTCGTGCCGAGCCCTTGGGTACAGGCACTGCCGACTGGCTCTTCCACTCCAGCATCCCAGGGGGACCTGCAGGATCTGGTGATGCCACCACTGTGGCCCATCTCTAACACTGCTGGGGCTTCCCATAAAGGTCTGGAGCTACAGGGTGGTGGGTACAGCTCTCACTTTGCTAAAAAAGGTGGTAAGCTGCCAAAAGCTCATTGTATCCTCCGAGAGCATCCAATAGGAAGAGGCTACAGGCAGAGCCAAGCACTGGTTAATCTTCACAACCAGGTGTTTTTGAAGATGAGGATCTCTCTCCTTGCCCCACAGCACCTCTCCTTGTTCCTGCTGTGGTTCAGTGCTCACCACCCCACTGGCTGCCTTCGTTCTCCCACATCCCCACTTAAAACCGCCACCCATGCTCAAAGCCTTGGAGACCACCAAGGTCAGCCCCAAGGCCTGGAGGCGACTCATGGGTTGGGGTCTGCTGGGACAGTGGGAGACAGGCAAGGACACCCAGCAATTCCAGTGGGCAGGGGCTGGTACCGTCACTGTGGGATGTGTCCCCGCTGTGCTCTCCTACCTTGGACCCTACTGTCTATGTCCTCCAAGGAAATCTTCAGGTTCTGTGGATCGTTCGCAGTTGTTTTCTCCAGAAAGTTTCTCACCTTCACAAAAGTCTGTGAAAGATGCTCTGGGTTAATAGTTGAAGGGGAGGCGGGTGTTACAACCCAAGGGGTGACCCAACTCAATGTCCCCCTGGGGGGTGACATCCCGTAGTGCCCAGTGCCAGCTGGGGCTGAGCTGCTCTATGGCTTTTCCCTGGGGCCAATTCCATCCTCCCAGCTGTGAGGATGGCTTGGGATGGGCGATTCAGGGGAGCCCCGTGTGGGTCCCCAAAGACCACAGCAGGGGTGGAGCCCCCGCGCACCTCATTATCCTCATCGGGGCTGTGCCTGTCGGGGGGCAGGTCGGCCACCCGCTGCACCAGGTACTGCAGCTTCTGCTTACAGTACTGGAGCTTCTCCTCCACCCCTCCGCCCTTGACAGAATCGTCCTGGAGTCAGAAAGAGAAGAATGACCTTGGTGGAGAACATGAGCCCCTTGGGGTGATGGTGGCTGCACTTGTGTCACCGTGCTGTGCTGTTGCACCACCAAGCGCCGGCCGGGGCCGTGCTCACCCCAGCACCACAGGGGTACCTGGCCGGGCACAGTGATGCCATACAGACGGACAAAGAGGTTGTCGATGCCGTTTTCAAACTCCAGCAGGAGCTCCTGGTTCTTCAGCATCTGGGCGCGCATCTGCTCCAGCCGAGCCTCTTCCCACTGCAGCTTCATCCTCAGCTCCTCCTCCAGCATCCTGGAGCCAACAACATTCACATCCAATGCAACTGCACAGGGGTGCAGAGACACCCCAAACCTGTTGCAAAAGCTGCTCAGGTTGCCACCCCCCCAGCTGCAGAGCAGAGGTGCTGCCTGCAACCCAGCTCCATGCTGCTGGTACCACTTCCCACGCCAGGCAAGGAGCAAGGGTCCTCCTGCTGCCACAGCAGGAGCTTTGGGTGCTCTGCCAGGACCAGAGCTGGGGAAGCACCCTGCTCAAAAAACCTCCTGGTGCAGGAGCGGTGGGCAGCTGCAGGGGGACAGAGGAAGGGGTGCCCTGTTGGAACACACATGATGCACATGTCCCCCCCCCCAAGGGTGGTGGCCCGGTGGCATGACTATCCCGAGGCCAGCAGCACCTGGTTGTGTTGGGGGGCTGGTGAAACTTCAGCTTAGCCTTCTTCAGCTCCAGCTCCTGCAGCATGTCCTTCAGCGCCTGCTTCTTCTCCTTGCACTCCTTGACGTACTGCTCCAGGTCCATTGAGGACTTCTGCTGTGCCAGGAGCCTGCTGGGGATGTCCTGGCCAGGGAAGAGCACGAGGGCTCAGCCCATGGCGCTCCTGCAGGGCACAGGACTGGGGCCATGGCCTGGGGGAGGTTTCTGCACTGTGGACGGCTGCAAGCTCATGTCATGGAGAAAAGCAGCCCCCCCCCTGCCTGTGCAAGAGGGGCTTTGGGGGGTTCCAGAGCGCAGACAACCCCACCCCACCATGGGCTCCATTTCTTCCTGAAGCAAGCCGAGCAGAGATGTCTCAGCTCCCCAGGGCTCAAGCAGCCCCAGGTTTCACCGGAGATGGGCTTTCATGTTACCCAGATGCGGGAGCACTGCACCGCAGCCTTGGCCTTCTCCATCTTCTCAGTCACCTGCGCCTCATACTCCATCTGGGACTTGGTGGCCTCCAGTTTGGCACCTGG